GCAGAAAAGCATAAATGTAATTTTTGTAGTCCAGAACAATTACCTGAAGCCCCTCTTGAACTTCATTGAGACAAGACCAGAAGCTAGCAGGTTTTCCTTCATCAGTAAGGACTCCTACAAAAAAAGATAATTACTTTCGTGTTTTTCCTATATAACATTGAATTGCATGAGAAAGAAATTATAAATTGCTCAACAACAGACCTTTGTATTTGTTTCTAATCCAGTCCTGTGAACACATTAGAGCCTCTAACATCTGAGAGGTGAGCCTGCTGCGGTGCTCACTAAGTACTCTCCCGCTTGTGCTGAACACAGATTCTGAAGCAACAGTTGTAATAGGAATTGCAAAAATATCCCTAGCTATCATCCTCAAAGTAGGATAGCGTGTTCCTGCAACCTTCCACCAGTCCAAAACATTCCAGCCTTCGGTTTGTATGTCCACCATCTCATCCTCTAAGTACCGATCCAGTTCAAATTTAAACCTCAATGCTGATGGCTGTGAATTTGCAACACGTGCAGTGAAGGATGACATAAATCCTGAGTTCTCTACTGTGGGTTTGATGGTACTGCTACTTGTACCTGCATCCTCATCAATGTGATACTCTAGCATCAAATCACTCAATGTGTCCTTCACTTTACCAACCTCTTCATCAGAGTTTGTCACTTGCAACACTTCAAAGCAGTATAGAAGCATGTGATGTTTAAATCTAGGGTCAAGAAGGGTGGCAATGCCCATCAGACCTTGAATTTCTGTCCAATATTTTCTAAACTTGGCTTCCATGTTATCTGACATTTCTTCTATCAATGGATTGCCACAAGATGACCATTCCCTAATTTTACTTCTAACCTCACAAATCTTGTAGAAGAACATGTTTGCAGTCACATAGTCGGTTCCAGAGAATAGGATGAAATGTCATTAAATAATTTAAACCTTGCGGTCACATCAATGAAAAACCTGAAATTCTTCTCGATTAGGGGCAACAAGTATATTGCCTATCTACACGGCTTGCTCTCATGAAAACAGCCTTTGTAGGGCAATGCAGTACTAAGCATTATGTAAGTTGAATTCCATCTTGTCTTACAATCCAGTGCTATCTTCTTCTCAATTTTGACATGCACATACTTAGCTATCTCCTCAAATGTCTCTACCCTTTTTGGTGTGGCATGCCCGAGAAGCTACGCTATCACGAAAGTTTTCAATGGCATCTTTTAGTTTTTCTAGTCCATCCTTAACAATCAGATTAAGGATATGAGCGCAACAACGCATGTGTAAAAACTTTCCATCAGCCATAAGCTTAGTTTTGCCAATCTTTCTAACAAGGTAAGGAATTGTAGCATCATTTGAACTGCAATTATCAAGCGTGATGGTTGATACCTTCTCATCAATATTCCAGTCAACAAGGGAGTCATACAGTTCATCACCAATGACTTCATGTGTGTGGGGACTTGGCACATAAATAAACTGTAAAAGGCCAAAGCAGACTTTATGAGCAAGCATGTCAAAAATCTATAAATTACAGCACTATACTGAAATGCAACCAGATCCAACAATCATTAGGCCCACCTCATGATAATGTTTCTTAGAGTCCAACTCTCATCAATAAAGTGTCTTTGTGATAGCCATGTATCCTCTTTTTCAAGTTATCGAAGTCCACATGTCACTAGTGATTGCCACCTTAGACTTGATTGCAGCCATATATTGAATGGCTTTCTTCCTCTCCGCTTCACACTTGTTCAAGTATGTACTTCCTAAAGTAAATAAAATATATGCACACAAGATTAGAAAGCAGGTTGTAATTTGCATAAGCACACTACATACAAAAGCATGTACAAAGTCACACTATATATACCTTAATGTTTTTCTGGTGCCAATCTTGAACAAGGGTTGGAGTGCATGTACAAATCTTCTAAAACCAGCATGGTCAACCATGCTCAAGGGATACTCATGTAGCACAATCATAGCAGCAAGTTCCTTTCTAGCTATGTCTTGATCAAAGGTGTAATTCTCTATAGAAACTGTCCCTGCATCTGTAGCCCTAAACCTCAATGATGTTTGAGACAATGTCTTCTTTCCTCCCAACTTAATCTTCCTAAGAGTGCATGACTTCAAGTGACAGTGAAGGTGCTTAGTCCCACACCTTGTTTCTCCTCCAAGCTTGGTGTTGCAGTAAATGCATTTTGCCTTTATTTTGCCATGCCATCTAACTCTCTTGAACTCCTTCCAAACAACAGATGTGAGCTTTCTCTTTGACCCAACCTCAGCACCATCTTCCTCATCCGATGGTTCAATTTCAATCTCCTCTTCATCATCATCTATTTCAATTGCTTCTGATTCATTGACAGATTCTAGATGCGATTCAAACTCGGGCTGAGAGCCCTGAGACATAGGAGCCTGGCTGATGTTTGCACTAGCTTCTGACATTTTTTCAGTTTGTAGTTAATTAACCACATAAATATTTAATTAGTACAACACGAGGTCACGAGTGCATAAAGCCTCAAACATAAGCTACTGCAAAACAGTATATAAATCAGGCAATATTTGCACTACAGGACTGGACACAGTGTACATTTGTAGTACAAACCTAATTAATCATTTTTATACAAATGATGCTTAAATAACAAATGCATATGCTTGCTCAGATACTAGGAAACATTATGATCCCAGACAACCCACAAAGGGAAGTCTCATCGAGCTGAGATTAGAGTATCTTATCATCATTGCAGAACAAATCAGGCTATGCCCGTTGTACAAATGACTAAATAGATGGGTAAAATCACACGGCTTGATAAGAAAATAGTGAACGCCAAATGACTCAATAAAATTCTTGAATGAGCTCAAATACAAAGGAAAAGCACATATCATGACAACCCACAGAGGGAAGTCTCATAATGAGCTGGGTAAAAAGAGTATCATCATTGCAAATGTCATTCAAGAGAATAAGCTGCTACACAACCCTTTTTAAAAAGATCACAAATAAAACAAAACCATATGCATGATCAGATAGAAAGGAATTTTTTTATCCCAGACAACCCACAAAGGGAAGTCTCATCGAGCTAGGATTAGAAAATAGAAATCCTATCATCATTGCAAAAGTATGTCTTTTTACTGAGCCAACTACATGAACAAAATAGTACAGCTTGGCAAGAAAAATTAATACCAAATAACTCAAGATAAAATTCTTGAATGAGCTCAGATGCAATGGAAAAAGCACATATCTATTGAGTATTGCTTGCTGCTAACTGCTAACACTAAATTCCAAATATTGCTAACTGCTAACACTAAATTGGTAACTTCTAGCACTAAACTTGTACATAATAATGAGACAAACAATATTCATCAAGTTTAAAAGCTTCAGGTCTAGTGAGTACTGACCCTGGAGAATTAAAAATTTTGTGTCCAGGCTTCTCAGCTGCAGATATCTTCAAGCGGCGGCGCTTGGGGTCAGAACCTTTCGCCTGTGGTGGTCGGGGAAGCCGCTTGGGTTCTCCAGCTATGAAGGCAGCTTTGGTCGACGACGGCGGGGGAGCTTTTATCTTCTCGGCAGCAGGTGCAGGGGGAGCTTTCTTCTTCCCGGTTGCAGGTGTAGATGGAGCATCCACCAACTCTTTGGATGCGACTGCAGCTTCGTTGGTCTTTGATCCGGGGGTTGGATTCGGCAGCAGGGAGTCGGTGACGACCGGATCCGACAGTAGGGAGTCAGAGACGACCGGATCCGGCCGTGGTGGCTCAGTAGCGGCGGCGTCCCTTGAGGAGGGATGGGGTCAGCAGAGGAACGCTGCAAATGATGGGGTTAATTCGTCGAGGAGGAAGAAACGAAGAAGGGCTTCACCGGGCAACTTCCATGGCGGCAAGCGGCGACGACAGCCGGGTGCCCGGGTCCGCAGTGGAGACGAGCGTCGCGAGCAGCAGAGTAGTGAAGTGGAGAGTGGAGAACTGGAGACTGGACTACTGGAGACTTGGAGAGGGACTGAGGGAGACGAGTGAAATGAGCTGGCCAGCTGGGTGCCTCAGTGCCTGGGTTACTTACTTTAGCCTAGGTCGCTGGTATGTACAGTCGTTGGGAGCCTTTACTAGTTTACTAGGAGCAGAGAGTGCCAGAGACCGGACTGGGAGACAGACAAGCGACGCGAGCTGGCTAGCTGGGTGCCTCAGTGCAAGCGGCGATGGCTGTTTTGCCCAAACCGTGGGTGGCGCCGGTGGTATAAGATTGGTTGCAGTGAACGAGGTGAGGTGGGGCCGGTGCTGCAGCGGATGTCAACATCGGCGCAGGAAAACGGAAAAACAGGCGCGCGCAGCCGTTGTCCGCCTCGATAAATTTGTATAATAGCATCGTAGCGGGTTCCCCGACGGGTAACGGGTACGGGTATATAAAGAACGTTCTCATACCCGCCATCCCCGTTGGGTATGGATTTTTGCCTATTTACGTACCCACGGGTAGAGAGATCGTCCTATCCCCGTCCCCTAATGGGTCAAATACCCGTCGGGTATCGGGTATCGAGGCCCCGTTGCCATCTTTATACAAGACCTACGAAATGCTAAACCTATTGGCATTTGCAAAATATGTACTGCACCTTGTAGCTGTTGAGACACTACTCATGGTCACCGCCATCGTCATGGTCATCGCTATCGTCATGGTCATCGTCACCGTCATCCTCCTCCTCCATGGGTGCGGGGATATGGCTGTCGTTCGGTAAATTATCGCGGACTACAAGAACGAAACAATGTCTCATTGGCAACAATTGTAAGAAGATGTACAAGTCAAAACAAATTTCTAAATCAATTACTCACATAAGCGACGCAAATACCTGTGGAAAAAGGCCATCTCCCTCTTATCCTTGGCCTCCTTGTTTTGTCACCAGAAGCTCATCAACTCGGCCTCGTTATTGTAAAAACTCAGTTGTTGACCGGTCACTCGAGGAAAGTCCTCTAAAATCCTGTTACGGGTATTCCATGATGGCATCTCTACCCGGTACCTCATCCTCACCTCCATATGCTTCTCCTTCTACATCCAACGCTTGCTCTCTTTTTGGAGTGGCGAATGTATATTCAGCCTCTCTACTAACTCTCCACGACCAGTGAAGTCCTCCCAATCGCATGTCCTCCCCAGCTAAGCAAACACAAAGCAATGAGCAAACAAACCGTTGGCCTATGTTCATGTAGTAACTTCACCGGTTCAGTCAACTTACCCATAGCTCAGACGACCCTCCATAAGCATTACCACAGTAGTATCTGTATCCTAGCTCAGACGGAACAACTCCTTCGCGAGTCTTGATGCCACACTTGCACTTACGGTCCGGCATCTTTGTGCATGGCCATGGCTTAATGCCTGCTTGAAACTCCGCAAATTCATACTCAGAAGGCCAGTGCGATTTGGGTCCATAGTTGTACTCCTCAAAGTCATAAGATGGTAACCCTCTCTACAAAAAAACACATGTTCCAATTGCAACATTGTATGTGCAAAACGCATACAAACTTAGAGATAGATTGCTTTCATAAAACTCACATAATCTGGCAATCCATAGCAATAGAAGGCAATGAATGCTCCACATTGGATGGGAGTAGTTAGTCGCACCAACACTCCACAAGGGCATCTAGGAGGATTGGCTAGACGACGTAAAGCAGCGTCAACCTTCTCCACCTCTGTTATTTCGGGAAGGTTTGGTGGTGGCGGAACCCAACGAACAAATTCTGAATATGGAACACTCTTTCAGGGGTCATAAGGAAACAACATAATCAACGGATCGAATATTTCATCACCATCGATCCACTGATAGAAGCTGCATCTCTCTAGGTAGGCATCAAGTGTCGGGGGACGTCGCTTAAGTTGGCAACAGTAGAAAGCACGCCCAGCTGACGCGGGATGCCTCGACTGCTTCACAAATGCCGGTAACCCACAGTAACACAAAGGTGTTGTCTCTGCTGGTAGGAAAGGATCGATAGCACCATGGTCCTTCGGATGGTGCACGAATTGGTTGTCATTTCGAACCGCCATTGAACCTATTACAAAGTAGTTCAAGAAAGCAAAGATATGAATCAATAATCATGTAAACCCATGAAGCCAAACCCTAAAACAAACTTGTAAATGATGCCTATACATACATAGTCCAACTCATCTATACATCTAATCACCACAAAAAACACACTTCGAACAGTGCAACCCATACTGCTGTCTAAACCCTAATGCTCTACCAACCAAAACCCTAATGCACTGCCAACCAAAACCAATCAAATATATCATAAAAGTTCAACAAGTACAACATGAATCATAATATATTAGACGTGATTAGCCAAAGCAACTTTCATTCAAGCAAAAGAAAGCCGGTATTGCAAACAGCAGTCTAAACCAGAGCAGTATATAAACATTAACTAAACACAAAAAAAACAATAGAGGTGAGGGAGTCATACCTCATGCACAAGACCGTTCAAATCTGAAAAGCAGATGCAAACTTGATCAAAGGCAAAAAGAGGATGGGAGGAGGAGAAGAGAGACAACACAGGACACAACGGTGACCTCGAGCTCACCCAGAGTGGCCACAGAATGAAGGGAGATAGACAAGAGGGAGGAAAACGTGGTGGGCCGCGGCCTTTATACGGGCCTGTCGACAGCGCTGGCACGACAGGCCGGGGCCCACGCACCGCCACGCCAGCTACGGTCAACGCCGGGTGCCACCGTGGCTGGGCTTGTCGGGCCAGCGCATGTGGCGTGACAGTGTGGTACTGTTGCGCCAGTCACGCTGGCGCGACCAAAAGGGTCACTTTCGCAAATACTTTTTTTAGGATTAGTATTAAAATGTTTATTTAAAAAGGATTACAAATAAAAAAATTTCCCCAACGCTGGATGCGACGCTGTCTACCTTGTGTCACAAAGAGCAATCCTATATGTATATGCTTTCAGCAAACTGAACCCACCATCACAAAAAAAAAATGGTTGCTCTGTTATCCACCAAAATGACCCGAAACCACCAGGAATTAGTGCTGGTTTGGTGTGTTCATGTACTAGCACTAGGAGTAACCATTATTACCCGGACCGAGGCCTGTCGTTTGAGCTTGAGTTGACTTTGTGTTCATTGCTGCTTGTTCATTTTTGCATGAACTGGCTGGCGTCCGACCCAAGCGAAACTAACGTGTCTTGCACACGCACCTTGTTTTGTTTAGTTCCTCCAAACTCTTAAAAAGTACACTATGTAAAAAGAAAATTTCTCGTCACATCAAACTTGCGGTACATGTATGAAGTACTAAATGTATACGAAATCAAAAACTAATTGCACAGTTTGCTTTAACTTTGCGAGACGAATCTTTTAAGTCTAATTAGTCAATGTTTGGACAATAATTCATAAATACAAACGAAATGCTACAGTAAGAAATCTTCACTGTGCAAAACTCACCACTCAAAAACAATATAATAAAAAAAGAAGCCTACTGATCCAAACCGCTCAAACCCAACGGTCTCGATAGGTACCGACGCGTGGAAAAGTAGAAAACATGCAGGGTAACAGTAGCTGTAGAAAAATGTTGCAGGCTGCAGCTGACCACTCTGTTCGGCCACCGCCTTCAGATTTCTGAATGTTGACGAACCGCGGCTGAACGAAGCAGCGCTGCCGCCACGCAGTGACCGGAGGCGTTACGTTGTTTCTTCTTCTTGTCAGCACCTTCTCTGAGGGGAAGGATCACTAGTAATTACCATCAGCTCCTGCTGGACCAAAACCACAGCTGTGCCTGTGCGTTTTGTCCAAGTGAAGTGGCTTCGTTTCATCGTTTCAGACCAAAACTAGCAGCTGTACGTGCGTAGGAACCATCCATGGACGACACGTACGTTGCGACATGGTTGTCTTCGTGCGTGTGTGGTCAGCTACTCAGCTCTGTTGATGGTACGGGATCGCTGGCACTTTTCACTAGAGGTGGTAGCGATCTAATTTTTTACAATTTGTTTTTTTTAAAAAAATACGTTTAAACCTCTAAGCGACGTAAACTGATCTTTGGACCCTGGGGTCAGCGCCGTGGCCTACGGCGTCGACGTAACACGTCTCGACACTGTAGGTCTTAGTGCCGAGATGCATGTCTCGGAAAAACGAGGCATCCAAGTGGCGCTGACGTAGCAGGTAGGTCGGCACCACGGACCCTGGCGCTGAGGTCGAAGCCACAGATCTTAGCGCCGATGTATATATATATATATATATATATATATATATATATATATATATATATATATATATATATATATATATATATATATATATATCTCTTCCTCTTCCTCACGCACCGTCTTCCTCTTCCTCTCGACTCCGACGCGACCTCTCTCTCTCTCTCTCTCTCGTCGTTTCGGCCGTCGCCCGCGCCACCACCTCCGGCTGCCCGCGCACCGCAGCAGTCCGCGGCACCAGCTCTGAAGAGCTCCGCGCCCCTGTCTGCTCCCTCGGTCGCCCTCGTCGCCCCATCCTCCTCCTCCACGTGCACCGACGGCGAGGGCGGCCCCGCCTCTCCCCGGCGTCCCCACCGGCCGGCGGGCCCCCCCCCCCCACCGGCCGCCCTGTGAGGCCACCCCTCTCCCTCGGCCGGCCGTCAGCCTCAGGTAAGGTAATTTTTTTATTTTCTGTAATTTCATTTTACAATTTAGTTAGTTTAGATAGTTTAGTTAGCTAATTTATTTATATAGTGATGTAATTTAGTTAGTTAATTTAGGTATTTAGTGAGACAATTTAGTTATGTAGAGGTTATATATTTAGGTAATTTAGATAGATTGTTTGATTGTTAGTTATTTATGTACTTTTGTAGGTAGTTAATTTAGTTATTTAGTTTATTTATAAGTTAGATAGTTAGGTAATTAAGTTACATATAGGTAGTACTTGTAGTAACTGTAGTTAGTAAAATTACTTATATAGTTAGATAGATAGCTAGGTAGTTTACATACTTATTTATTTAGGAAGACAGTGGGATACTTAATTATATATGTAATTTAGTTATACCCTTATTAGTTAAACCCGTAATAACTTTGATGTTGTGTATACCAACTAGATGGACAATGTAGTCACCCTGTATCATGGAGGAAGTGTGGAGGAAGATGAGTTTGGGAATATCAGTTTTGTTGGAATGCAAAGGATGCCTCTCATGTTCGATGATCGACCGTTGTTTTTTGAGTTGTTTGGTAGTGCTCGTGATGAGCTTCATTGCAATTCAAATGAGGATGTCATCGTAGTTGAGGGGGTACTTCACTATTGTAAATCAGGCCGTATTTTTAGGCGGTTGGTCCTAATTGCATCAGAGGCTCAATGGGACAAATATGTCAAAACTATCATAAAGAATGAGTTTCAATGTTTGGATTTAGTTGTGCGGAAGTTGTCCAATGATCCCACCCCTCATGGGTATTCACCCCCTAATGGGCATTCACCCCCTCGTGGGTTCTCTCCAGAACCAGAGAATCCGGCACCTTCTGACCCTCCATTACCCAACCGCGAGGTGGATGTGGAAGATGTAGTTCTGGTGCCGATGCTCAATCCGCCTTGAATGAGGTTGGAGTATGTCCTGATGTTCGTGCAGAATGTCGGTCCGATCATAGAGTTGCTGCCCCTCAGGAGATCCCTTTGACCCAGAATCATCCAAGTAAATGACATAGTAACACTTTTGCTTTCGTTATTCTTCCTTCATTCCATTCCTTTGTCTCAATTCTATCCATATTTGTGCTTTATATACAGGAGACAATCCTGATGATGATGGTTGTCCTCCTATGCCTCCATCAACCAACATGGACCCAGGGTTTATAGCCTCTAACTGTGTGGATGTTAAAATTGCGGATGATGAGGAGCCTTATGGCACAGCAAGAGCCATTGATTCTGATGATGACCGCCCAGTTGCACCTTTGAGCGAACAATAAATGGAGCTCACCAGGCGTTTGTGTCCTGATCGTGATCCACTAGTTCATGAATTCAGCGATCTCAGTCATTCTCAACATGCTTATGGAGAAGGAAGAGATGACGAGCTGCTAGAGGCTCCTAAGGCCAGTGACAGCGTGGAAATTCAGAAGGGCATGGTCTTCAAGAACTTGCCCACCTTGAGAAGGTGGTACAGGAATATTCTATGAGACGTAAAAGGCCATTCAAGGTGATGCACTCCTATATGGAGCGTCGTTACACAGTAGTGTGCGAAAATGCAGATTGCAATTGGAGGGTCTGTGCTCAGAAACAGAAGGCCACAGGGAAGTTCAAGATCACCAAAATTATAGGTCCACACACTTGTGCCCAGAAAGATCTAAATCAGAAGCATCGACAATTGACCTCTACCCTCATTGCCAGAAGGTTGTACACAACATTGAAGGGTTAGCCCAACTTAAAGGTCAGGACAATTATGGAGATAACTAAAGAGATATTTAAGTATGACATAAAGTATGGGAAAGCATGAAGGGCAAAGCAACGGGCCTGGAAGATGATATATGGAGACTGGGAGGAGGGGTACGAGCAGTTGCCTGCAATGTTCAATGCAATGAAAGCAGCAAATTCGGGCATGCATTACGAGTACATCCCCAAGCCGAATGAATGGAAGGACGGGAGGCAGATATTCTTCCGTGCATTCTGGTGCTTTCCCCAGTGTATCGAGGTCTTCAGGCACTGTTGTCCAGTGTTATCCATTAATGGTACTTTTCTGCTTGGCAAGTACATAGGCACACTAATGGTAGCCATTTCCTATGATGCAAACAACGCATTGGTTCCTTTGGCTTTTACTTTGGTGGAGAGAGAGAACAAAGACAGCTGGGTTTGGTTCTTGCATCTTGTCCGGATACATGTGATTGGCCCTGGTAGGGAAGTTGGTGTCATATCTGATAGACACCAGGGCATACTCAGTGCCGTACAAGAGCAGATTCCGGGGTATGCACCTTTGCACCACCGTTGGTGCACTCGGCACCTTGCCGAGAATTTACTTCGGAAGGATGGTACGAAGGACAACTTTCCTCTATTCAAGGAAGTTGCTCGCATGCTTGATGTGCCGTTCTTCGAGAAGAAG